GCGACAGAGCGAGACTCCGTCTCAAAAAAAAAAAAAAGAGAGAGAGAGAGAGAAGCAAAAACAGGCCTATGTCCCCGGTTCCCACGGCTGGAAGTGTGACATCCATTCCTTAAGGAGGTCCCAAACTGTGGGACCTAGGCTGTTGCTACAAACAGGAATGGGGGGATGACGAATGGCTCCTCTTGCCTTGATAACTAACAATCCGCTCCCCAGAGGTCAAACTTACCACCACTAGTTTGTAATAGAACCAGTCATTAATTGACCCCTTCCCTAACTTCCTCCTGATTTATTTACCCACTATTTAGGACAAAAAAAAAAAAGATGTATAGAATATTCTTGTGTGCCTCTGATTCACCAAGGAGTTAATTGAGGACTTAATTTGAAACCAGGGGCCCTAGGTTCTAGCCCCTTTATTAGGAGGTAACAATATGATTCTAGTACTGCTCTCTTCAAAGCACGAAAACAACAATAATAGCAACAAAACAATATGATTCCAGGTATGTCTCTCTGGACCTTTGTTTCTCCTTAAGCAAAACGTTGGGGGGAATTTAATGAAAGCTATCCAAATTCAACTAAAAGCTCCAGGCTGGGCTCAGTGGCTCAAGGGCTGGGCGCCATGGCTCAGGCTGGGTGCAGTGGCTCACGCCTGTAATCCCAGCACTTTGGGAGGCCAAGGCAGGTGGATCACCTGAGGTCAGGAGTTCAGGACCAGCCTGACCAACAGGGAGAAACCCCATCTCCACTAAAAATACAAAATTAGCTGGGCGTGGTGACGTATGCCTGTAATCCCAGCTACTCAGGAGGCTGAGGCAGGAGAATTGCTTGAACCCAGGAGGCGGAGGTTGCAGCGAGCTGAGATCATGCCATTGCACTCCAGTCTGGGTAACAAGAGAGAAACTCTATCCCCCTCCCCCCCCAAAAAAAGCTCTACAAGTCCTCCAGATGTGCATTTATGATTCTGGGAATTAGTACATTTTTTGTTTGTTTGTTTTTTGGGTTTTTTTTTTTTTTTTTTTTTTGAGATGGAGTCTTGCTCTGTCACCCAGGCTGGAGTGCCGTGGCGCGATCTTGGCTCACTGCAAGCTCCACCTACCAGGTTCATGCCATTCTCCTGCCTCAGCCTCCTGAGCAGCTGGGACACAGGCGCCCGCCACCATGCCTGGCTAATTTTTTGTATTTTTAGTACAGAAGGGGTTTCACCATGTTAGCCAGGATGGTCCCGATCAATTCTGGGAATTAGTACATTTAACAGTAGTTAAGAACGGCAAATTATGGAGCTAAATAGGTATGGCCTCAATCCCTAGTTACTTAACCTCTCTGAGCCTCTGTTCCCCATCTGTAACCACTGGAGGCTGTGGTAAGGAGTAAGCCAGCTGTCTGTGATGTGCTTAGCACCATGATTCAATAAACGGTAGCAAATGTTGTCATTTATATTGTTGGGGGATGCAGAGGACTAGAGAGACAAGTATGGGTAAATATAGGAGGATATTTATTTTAAGGTGAGCACTAGCTCAGTGGATTCACATTTAAAAAGCTGAGCCCCAAACAAAGACAGAGTTTAGCTTATACAGGCTAGTATACAAGAACAAAACAAAGGCAGTAAATTATAAAGTGACAAGTCACGTAATTTATGGCATAACTATTGACTTGGCATAGCTTATGGCCTTGTATAGCTAGTGGCCTTCCAGCTGGGTTGAAAGAAAAACAGGA